TAATGCCTAATAAAGAGAAAATGTGGTGTGTGTGTGTGTGTGTGTACAAACACACACACACATACACACCATGAAATAGGATGTGGAATAGATCTAAAGGACAATGGAAACCAAGAAGGGGAGGGGTGGGAGGAAGACAATTAGGGGTAAAAACTATCACATATAACAAACACTACATTGTGGTGACAGACACACTAAAAGCCCTGACTTCAGTATTATACAAGATATCCATGTAACAAGAATATATGTACACCCTTAATATTTTGAAATAAAAAAAATAAGAAAAGTCTACATTTGTTTAATGAGGGCACATTCATGGCTGCTTTATCCAACTCTCCTGAAAGTAACTTCTCTTCCTCCCCAGTGGTGTTCAAGCACATTTCTTTTTTTTGTTTTTGAGACAGAGTCTTACTTCGTGTTGCCCAGGCTAGAGTGAGTGCCATGGCATTAGCCTAGCTCACAGTGAACCTCAAACTCCTGGGCTCAAGCAATCCTGCTGCCTCAGCCTCCCGAGTAGCTGGAACTACAGGCATGCGCCGCCATGCCTGGCTAATTTTTTTTTCTATATATTAGTTGGCCAATTAATTTATTTCTATTTATAGTAGAGACGGGTCTCACTCTTGCTCCGGCTGGTTTCAAACTCCTGACCTTGAGCAATCCACCCACCTCGGCCTCCCAGAGAGCTAGGATTACAGGTGTTAGCCCGGCCTCAAGCACATTTCTTTACAGGTCCCTCCCTTTCTGCTCCTTCCACTTTGGCCCTCCCAACACTCAACTGGCTCCTTATCAGGTGTTGCCAGGGAACAGCAAGACACAAGGGATTTTCTCAGATCCATGATCAAAAGACTATATTACCTGTGAGAGCAAGCACAGAAGATATGTTACCTGTGAGAACAGCAACAAAACAACAGGTGAGAGGAGATAGCACAGAGGCAAGCAAGGAGGGGTTGGGAAGGGATTGGGAAGAAAAAAGTTAGCAGAATGACTAAAATCATGTGAAATGGATGAGGGGAATTTAGTCGGTTCAGGTAATGAATTTGAATGTCGGACGAGGGGAGTTTGAGGAGCAGGCCAACGAGTAGAAGAGCTGCTGGCCAGGAAGGGTCCAATGAATAAAGCCTTAAATTGTCAAAAAATGATTGTTCGCTTAAAAGCATAATAGTGCCTCCTCTTTCTCCCAACCACTTTCTTCTTTTACTAACTTCCTTATTTTCCAGCTAGTGCAGCCGCTTCTAGTTACTACTCCTTTGTGAATAGAACTTTCTTTGGATAGGTACCCTCTTGAGCCTGGGAGGATCCTTGATTTCTTTGTCTCCCTATCATCATCATGCTTAAGGTAGGTTCCCCATCCCCCTCTGTGTTAACGTCTCAACCTTTCTATGCCACAGCCTGTATCCCTGGTGCAAGGAAGAAGGTCCAGTTGCCAGGGAACAGCAAGACACAAGGGATTTTCTCAGATCCATGATCAAAAGACTATATTACCTGTGAGAGCAACAGCAAGGATATGTTACCTGTGAGAACAGCAACAAAAACAACAGGTGAGAGGAGATAGCACAGAGGCAAGCAAGGAGGGGTTGGGAAGGGATTGGGAAGAAAAGGTTAGCAGAATGTACTAAAATCATGTGAAATGGAGGGGAATTAGCGTTCAGAAAATTATGGGACAGTTATTCAGCAACATGAATAACACAATTTGGTATAGGTATTTTTGACCACCTTCTGTATGTCCAGCTCTGTGTTAAGCACTTTGAAGGATTCAGGAGAAATAGCAGATGTGGTACCTGCTATCAAAGAACTTGTAGAAACATATAAACACAAAAGGAATAATTAGAGAACAGTTAAATACCAAACTCTGAGAGCTGAAATAGTCAAAAAGGGCTTTCTTGGAGAACTGTGCCTTCATCTATCTTGCAGGATCAGCACAATTTTCATTAGCAGAGAAAAGGAAATAAAATATCTGAAGAATGGGGGAGCAGTCAGGGGCAGGAGCAGAAGGAATATGACTACCCTTTGCTACTCTCTGTCTCCCCCTACTCAACAGGAGTTAAACCCAGAGATGTGAAGGGAATCTTTCCTCTAATGATAATAATGGTGATAATTTTCTTGCTGCTTCTGTTCTGGGAAAATGAACTGAATGAGGAAATGATGCAGCTGTCAACCTTAGAGCACATGCATGTGGACTACCCTCGGAGCCACCTTCCTTCAAGGTACTGCAACTACCTGATCATAGAAAAAGTCATCAGGGAACCTGACCACACTTGTAAAAAGAAGCATGTCTTCATCCATGAGAGGCCTCGAAAACTCAATAGTGTTTGCACTTCCCCCAAGAAGGTGCCTTGCCAAAACCATTCCGCCACTTTCTGCTTCCAGAGCGAGACAAAGTTTCAAATGACCGTCTGTCAGCTCATTGAAGGCACCAGATATCCTGCCTGTAGGTACCACATTTCCCTCACAGAGGGGTTTGTTCTTGTCACTTGTGATGAGGTGGGGCCAGTTAATTTCCAGGGATATGTTGAGTGACTTGAGGTTATATAACTCAGCTCCTGAGGCTGAGATCCTCTCGTCTCCTCTCTCAGTGGCACTGGGGCTGGGTGTCCAGAGGCAGACTGGAACTGTGGACATGGGGGACTACCTTGAGTGAAATGGGTAGCCACTGGCAATTATTAATAATTTATCCTTCCAGTATTGCTGAGTTGGAATCAATAAAAAAATATTTACTGAATTAAACCATAAACTCTACGTGTGTTTCAATTTTTGTCTCTTGTCTTTGAGTCATTTGATGAGAGCTAAGATTGAATCAAAGGCAGGGTTGAAATTAAGACAAAGTGCCTGAGATACTCATTTTAGGTGCAAAATTTGAGGGGGCACCAAAACACCCCAGTAATCTAGATAAATAGTATTTTAATTCAATATTATTTTGTTTTGTTTCCTAGGCCATATAGTAATAGAATGCTCAATTTTTTTCTTAAGAGACAGGATCTTGTTATGTTGCCCAGGCTGGTCTCAAACTCCTGGGATCACAGATGTGCACCATCATGCCCAGCTAATTTTTATTTTTATTTTTTGTAGAGTTGGGAGTCTAGCTGTGTTGCCTAGGTTGGTCTCAAACTTGTGGGCTCAAGCAGTCCTTCCACCTCTGCCTCCCAAAGTGCTGGGATTATAGGCATGAGCCACTGTGCCTGGCCATAATTCAATATTTTAAAATATCAAAATTATATCAACTCCATTGGACTAAAATGAAAATTGAAAAAAGAAAGAAAAAAATTTAATTTTTTTTTTTTTTGAGACAGAGTCTGGCTTTGTTGCCCAGACTAGAGTGAGTGCCGTGGCGTCAGCCTAGCTCACAGCAACCTCAAACTCCTGGGCTCAAGCAATCCTGCTGCCTCAACCTCCCAAGTAGCTGGGACTACAGGCATGTGCCACCATGCCCAGCTTACTTATTCTATATATATTAGTTGGCTAATTAATTTCTTTCTATTTATAGCAGAGACGGGGTCTCGCTCTTGCTCAGGCTGGTTTCCAACTCCTGACCTCCAGCAATCCACCCACCTTGGCCTCCCAGAGTACTAGGATTACAGGCGTGAGCCACCATGCCCAGCCTCCCTTTTTAATTCATACAACTGAACCCATTATTTACCTCCCCCATGTTAAGCTATGAGCATAGCATCCTTAAGCTAGAGGAAGACGGAAGAGAAAGAGAAGCTCCTAATTCCAGGAGTTTCATTAAGTCCTGTTCTTCTCTGATTACTAGTTTCCTCCTCTGTAAAGCAAGGGTCTTGAGCTAGATAATCTTTGAGGTTCTTTCCACATCTATTACTCTATAATTCTATTTCTTAGGTAGTGTAGAAATTGACTTTGCTGGAGGGGATGCTTTGTATTGGGGAAGTAGTAAGAAAAAAGGGGCAATTGGCAAGTAAGGGCCAGGTTGTGGGATCACTAATTCTGAGCTATGATGTTTCAATCCTGTATGTGAGAGCCAGAAACTCGTACCGTGAGCGAGAGCAGGCATGAGTGATTCACAAGCTTTAGAGAACACTTTCTGTCCTGATCTTTTCAGTTGAGAGACCTCAACTGTTGCATGGCTCATTTGGACTTAATTCAAGGTCATATCTTGAATTGAAGGAGGTGCACTCATGATAGTCGTTAGCTCTGTCTTTTGTAAGCATAAAGTTCTATCTGATTGATTCGATTTATGGGGGGGGAATGAACATGACAATTATGACTAAAAGACACTTTGCAGACTTGTAAGTAGGCAAAGCTTACCCATCTCGTGGCTTCTTCCATCTGGGACAGCTTTTTAAAGCTGAGTTTCATTATCTATTTCTCTGTGGTAAGCCTATTGTCATTGTTGTTTTCATGGAATTTTGGGTGCCACCAAGTGAGCAGAGCCTTTGGCATCTGAATAGAAACTGAGCAGGAATAGCTGGTCCCTAGTGTATGACTTGTTGGGTCTTGGTGCCATCATTTCCCGGACAAAACCCTGAAGGAGATTAAATGTGTCCTTTAAGGCCTTGACACTATTTTGTGAATTCTGCTTCCTTTTCCTACCCCTTTCCCTAGGTTTATTGCTCTTTCTTTTTTTCTCAGTGCTTTCTGTTCCCTTCCTTCCCCAACCTCTCCTCTTCCAATTTAAAAAAAAAATGATGCAGATAAATGCATTCCCACTAAAGTGTAAGGAACTGAGACTCTCCAGTGGAATCTATCCTCAGAGTATTTTCATTTAATAAGAATCAAACTCTGGCCAGGCCCAGTGGCTCACGCCTGTAATCCTAGCTCTCTGGGAGGCCAAGGCGGGCAGATTGCTCAAGGTCAGGAGTTTAAAACCAGCCTGAGCAAGAGCGTGACCCCATCTCTACAATAAGTAGAAAGAAATTAATTGGCCAACTAATATATATAGAAAAAATTAGCCGGGCATGGTGGCTCATGCCTGTAGTCCCAGCTACTTGGGAGCCTGAGGCAGTAGCATCGCTTGAGCCCAGGAGTTTGAGGTTGCTGTGAGCTAGGCTGACGCCACGGTACTCACTCTAGCCTAGGCAACAAAGTGAGACTCTGTCTCAAAAAAAAAAAAAAGAAGAAAAAGAATCAAAATCTAATTCAAGTGAATTGTGACATTTTAGTCACTTGTACTTGAGGGAGGTATGTTTTTTAATAGGCACCTTCTAGAAGTTTGAAATCAAACCCAGGCAGCTCTGAATTCTGCCCACTTGAAATATATGTTTCAGAAAGACTGGGAATCTCTGATCTCTTCTTCCTCTTTATTTTTCTCCTCATTGTCTTTTTGTTCTCATGTATCGCCTCACTACTGATGTGAATGGCACAGAATGTAGAAGTTTAGGAAACAAAATAAATATCCTACAAATCCCTCTTGCTTACTTCCTTCAACATGCATCAAGTCCGTGGTCAAGACACCCTCTCAACGCACATACCTGAACACATCCACTTAATTCTTAATAATTTATCAATAATCCATCAACCCACTTAAGGCTTATATATTCTTGGTGCTAGGTCTTTGCTCTAGTTTCATAAACAGGACATTTTATTTATTTGTTTAATTTATTTTGAGACAGAGTCTCACTCTGTTGCCTGGGCTAGAGTGCCACGGTGTCAGCCTAGCTCACAGCAACCTCAAACTCCTGGGCTCAGGTGATCCTCCTGCCCCAGCCTCCCAGTCCCAAGCTGGGACTACAGGCATGTGCCCCCATGCCCAGCTAATGTTTTCTATTTTTTAGCATAGATGGGGTCTCGCTTTGGGTTAGGCTGGTCTCAAACTCCTGAGCTCAAACGATCTTCCCTCCATGGCCTCCCAGAGTGCTAAGATTACAGGCGTGAGCCACCGCGCCCAGCCAACAGGACATTTTAAAATCAAATATAACTTTTAAAATTCCATATGCACTAATGTCAAACGAACGATATAAGAATTATCACCTTAAATAACCATCCATTCTGGGATTCTCATTATGAATTTTTCAGCATTGACCTCAAGCAAAGGATTTTATACTCTAGTCAAGCCATATTATGTTGTTTACAAATATTGTTGAAAAACTAGTCTGTGTACAGTTCAGTATTTGATGCTGTACAGAATAAAAATAATCAGAAACTGTGTTCCAGGTTCCAGGAGTTTTCAGCCTTAATAAGAGGGGGAAAAGACTAACATGTATCAACTAACTAGAAAAATGAAAAAGATCATATAAAATGAAGTACAACACAATCTGTACTGTGGGGTTTCAGAAAAGTAATCACTCTGGGTTAAAGTATTAATAGACAGGGGAGATTTCATGGAAGATAAAGCCTGCCTGGGTCATTGGGATTCTGACTGCCAAGTAGACACTTTGTTCAGTTCTCCCTGAGCGTCCTTGGTTCCACATTGTCTCCTCCGCCAATCTCACACAATTCTATCTGCCTCCTTCTTGCCCCTCCTTCCCTCAGTTAGACTTGGTAACAGAAACTCCCAGGAAACAAACATAATTTCTCTTCTAACCCTGCAACAAGCTGGAATCTTTCTCTACGAGATCAACTTGCCAAAGGAACCGGTAAAGACCCGAATCCCATGACTGAGAATGGTTGGGGAAAGAAATGAGAGATTGGGGGATGGCTGTGTGTTTTGTTTTGTGTTTTCAAGTGGCTACCATGTGCCAGGTACTGTGTGAGACTGTAGGAGATATCGTAACGGTGAGAGATGTGTTGGGTGAGAATTGTGAGAATTGTGAAACACCATGGAGGTTATAGATCCTGCCAATGAGATTATAAACAAAGGGAAAATGTTCTAGCACGTTAAATATATTCTTACAGGGCTGGGCGCGGTGGCTCACGCCTGTAATCCTAGCACTCTGGGAGGCCAAGGCGGGTGGATTGCTCAAGGTCAGGAGTTCAAAACCAGCCTGAGCAAGAGCAAGACCCCGTCTCTACTATAAATAAAAAAAGAAATTAATTGGCCAACTAATGTATATAGAAAAAAAAAATTAGCCGGGCATGGTGGCGCATGCTTGTAGTCCCAGCTACTCGGGAGACTGAGGCAGAAAGATTGCTTGAGCCCAGGAGTTTGAGGTTGCTGTGAGCTAGGCTGACGCCACGGCACTCACTCTAGTCTGGGCAACAAAGCGAGACTCTGTCTAAAAATAAATAAATAAATATATTCTTACATAATTCTTACATTTTCTCTTTTTTTTCACATTGGCAAACTGAGGTTAAGCAAGTTAAATTGTAAGTGGAGAAACAGGGACTCGAACCTGGTTCTTCAGACTCCACAGCTGACTGTGTTTTCATCAGATCATAGTTCCATTAACAGATGTAGATGTCTTAACTTACATGTAGGGGTCACTCCTGGGAATAACTGTCATAAGGAAAAGAGACCAATCTTAATCCCATTTATAATCTTTTATTTTTCATCTTTTAAAATCATATTTACTTACTTTTTTATTTCAGAATATTATGGGGGGACAAATATTTTGGTTACATAAATTACTTTTGTATCATTTGAGTCAAAGTTATCCTACACATAGTGTGCATTGAACCTTTCAGGTGTGAATTTACCCGTTACCTTCTCCCCACTCCCGATTTTTTATCTTTACTCCAGAAGGGAATACACCAGATCTGAGATGGAAACCTTCTCTCTGCTGCTATTCAGCCTGGGGTTGGTGCTTGCAGGAGTTTCAGAAAGCAAAATGGAGATAATTAAAGAAGAATTTACAGAGGAAGACATGCAACATGACATGGCAAAAAGTGGCCAAGAAAAACAGATCTGTGAGGTATTAATGAACTTGACCCCATTAGATAAAAATACCAGCCTCAGCACATCCAAGGATATTGTGTCTTTCTCACCATTGACATTCAGAAGGTTACATTATAGCATCTCCAAGGGAAACAGTTCAGGTGGTGGTAAAGAATGTTGCAATGACATGGCCGTTTGGAGAAAAGTTTCAGAAGCTAATGGGTCATGCAAGTTGAGCAGTAACTTCATCCACGGCTCCTTGGAAGCAATCCATGGAATCCACAAGGCCCCAAGCTGCAAGTTTGGACAGAGTCCTGGCATAAGCTGCTGTGAGAGTCCAGAACTGGAGAATACTATGTGCCGCCTCACTACAGGCAAACAATTCCCCAGATGCCAATACCACGGCGTTACTTCATTAAAGAAAATGTTGACAGTGCTGACAGGTCATTCTCTGATGAGCTGGTTAGTTAGTGGCACTAAGTTGTAAATCCCACAGAGCTTTTGAGACTAGGGTCTAACTAAAGAAGAACATATTCATGCTCATTTTTGTTTCTTTCCTTCCATTATTCAGATCTACCCTTTAGCACTATAGTAAATTCTTGATTATTTCTACTAACTGAAAGACTGAAAAATCCAAAATTGTGAATAATTCAATTAAAATTTATAACTGATCCTGGAGTACAGATTCTCTCTCTCTCTCCTCTCTCTCTCTCTCTCTCTCTCTCTCTCACACACACACACACACACACACACACACTTTTCTTCTGAGCCAAATTGAATTCCACCCTAGCTGTACTATAAGGCTGAGTCTATTCAATGGGGCAAAATTAAGGAGAGAAGGCTCCAAACTAGTATGAATAATTAAGAGTTAATTTGTACTGCCAATGAGACTATTCAGAAAAATAGTAAATGAGTGAGAGAAATATTATTATCACTGCTTCTCTTCAAACAAGTAGGTGCATTGATGCGTGCACACACGCATGAGCACTCACCCACACAAGTATGGGTCTGCCTGTCCTTTAGCAGTTGCCAGAGGAAAAAGATCTTTTAGTTTAGCAAGTGTTCTCAGTATCCACAGCTCCAGCCTTATGCAGTCTCCATTCCTCCACCTTCATCCCATCTTACAGGTTGATGTCAAGATAAGAAATACAGCTCTTACTGTAACTTTTTTCTCAAGCAAAGTCTTGATACCCTGGGGCCATGGGAGAGGAATGGCAAGCCATGGAGAAATAGAAGAGGCAGAAAGATAGGAATAAGAAGTCTGTGCCTGCAGGCTGGCTTTGAAAAAAAAAAAATGAAAAAAAGATTAAAAAATTTTAAAAAAAGAAGTCTATGCCAAGTATCAGGCAGGATTGGTCTTCAGCATGAATGTTTTTCTGATATTTTAGTGAACTTAATTATCAATCATTATCAATTATTTATTTGTAAGTCTTCATGGTTCAGCACTCTGCATAAAGTATGGGCAGTTATCTTGTTTATTGATTTGTGCGTACATGCTCTGTTCCCTCCTATTCATCCTCCTTCCCTCCTGAAGCCACTCTTTCTTAATGTTCTAATTTTAAATAAATGCATGTAAATGAATGTTATGTCCCTGTAGCATTTTTCTTATTGTACGTAACTCTTTGTATTTTAATTTTCCTAGCATTGGTCATATTTGGTGCAGAATTCTCATTATATCGGAACTGCAAAACTCTGACAATCAACCGATATGCAGCATTACAGCAACGTTTTTGTACCTTTTAGCTGGGTTTTCCTTGTCAGTGTGGTGGCTGTGTAAATAAATAATCACTGTGGACTTGGCCAAACAAGAATATAATTAGCACTCAATTTTCACTTGGCAACCAGAGGAGACAGTGATTGATAGAGAGAAATACCTGGATCCCAAAGGTCTCTTCTCTGTAGGAGAACCCAGGACCCAGGAAGAGGATATGCTCAAGTTCCACCCCAGGGATAGTTTCAAGTGGTGACACCGACTCACCAAATGGAAGGGTGGGCTCCATCCACAGTAGAACACTCTGAGCAGTCTCCTCTAGGTTCAAATTTAGTTCAAATCTGAGTAACTTCTTTCCTATAGTAGGATTTCCAGCTCTGGCTAAGGGGCATGTCAGCCCCAGAGACAATCAGTGTTTAAGTGCTAGGAGAGATTTTTTTATAATGTGTAAGAAAAAGCAAACTCAGCCAGGTGCAGTGGCTCATCATGCCTGTAATCCTAGTACTCTGGGAGGCTGAGGCGGGCAGATACCTCAAAGTCAGGAGTTCAAAACCAGCCTGAGCAAGAGCGAGACCCTGCCCCCCCCCATCTCTACTAAAAATAGAAACAAATTAATTGGCCAACTAAAAATACATAGAAAAAATTAACCAGGCATGGTGACACATGCCTGTAGTCCCATCCCCAGAATAGATACCTCTTTCTAGACCAGGAGTGTCCTTTGAAGAGGCTTGGTAAAAATAAAATCTTTCCACTTCTCTGAAGGAAGCAGGAGCTCTGGGTCTCAGTCCTTTGGAGCCCTGATGTCCCAGGATCTATCACGTCCAGGATCCATACAATGAGGTCTGAAGGATGCGGAATGTGGAAGTGTCATGAACAGTTAGTGCTCCTGAGGGCTAGCACTTCTCACCCTTGAAGGCTGTCACCCCTTTGACATCATATGCATCCTAAGGTCCCTCATAAGGACGATGGGCAGGGGATTTCACATGTTAAAACACTAAGTTTTTACAATGTTCCTTTTCTGCTCCCAAATCATAGAGGGTTCCTTTTTTCTCAGGCTGACTTTCAAGGCTCCTGATGCTCCATTCTCATCTTACCTAACCTGTCTCCAGCAAGTGCCCTGTCTCTGTCATTTTGAGGCTACCCTCTTCACCATCCACAGAACTTGCTGCAACTTGCCTTCACTCCTGGGGCAGGCTTATCTCAATGCCTCCTTTCTCCTTTCTCATTCTATCGTCTAGGCCCACTCAATCACACAAACTCATCTGACTAGAAATAGTGCAACAAATGTCTTTTGCAACTGTTAGAAAAATAAGTGATTTACAAGGGTTAAGTTGGAAAAAAAAAGAAAAATAAGTGAGAGGTACATATATGTTATATCCCTGTACCCAAAAGGAAAAATTTGAGGACGTGAAATGAGGTAACAAAGGGGACAAATCCAGTTTTAAAAGGGCCATGGAAGGGAAAGTCAGGTAGGGAAAGGAAGTTGGGAATGGAATCACAGGTTTGTGGAAGAGATGCTGATAGGCATTATTTAGTGTAAGAGAAGTACTTCTCTTGTGTCTAACCATTCCCTCTATTTCCCCAACATAATGGGTACTAAATTTCTTTTAAGCAAAAATTCTAAAGTGAAAGCAAATCCCTGGCCTCAAGTGCCCAAGAGGATACTGAAAGGAAACCCATTGTGACATCACAGATAAATTCTCATATATTCTGTGAGGCGGCCCCCCTCCAAGTCCTTTGCCCTCACTGGGATTCAGTTTCCTTACCTACACAAGGAAACAGTTGGATTAGATCTGGGTCCTCAGACTGAGGTAGGTGTCAGATCATTGTGGCAAAGTCTTCGGGCTGTCCACCAAGTAAACCTCCGTGCTCTAAAGGGGCGGAGGTTCAGTGAGGTACAGAGTGCCCAGCCGGACTTCCTTTCCTGGGATCTCTGAGCAGGAGTGACATGTGCCACTTCCAAGTCCAGGTCTTATGACGTTGGACTGGACTCTGCTGTGATTTTTTTCTTCTCAACAGCTAGATCCCCAAAATAGACATGAGTGTTCCCCAACTTTAATCATGAACATGATAAAATGATGATAATGTCCCAGGAATGGCCTGAACAGCAAAATGGAAGGAAGCCACATCCCCGAATAACTGTTAAGCAGTTATTTTGCTAACCTGGACTGCTCATTTTGAGGCTGTTATATGGAAGAAAAATAAATATTTATATTTTTTAACCTATTATACCCTGAAATTGTATTCCATGAGCTTAGCCTTACCCTAACAAATGTAATAACTTCAGGAGATGTTATTAAGTACAACTCCTTGAACCCTAATCCCAAAAGTTTGGGTTCTACAGACCAGAGATAGGACTACAGGAAAGGGGTCTTTTACAAGTGTGTCAGGTTTGCTGATGTGCTCCATTAAACACCACTGGATTAAATGAAATAAAATCTTTCAGTCATAGAACATTCTAATCCTAATGGGGGAAAAAATGTTGCTGCCCCTCAGAGCTTTTGAAGACAGCACTGAGGCAAAATCATTCAGTCTAACTCCAAGAGCCTCTACCTGCCACAGTCTCCCAGAACTAGCAAGGCAGTCTCTTTATTCTGAAAGTTCCAAGCCATAGGATACATCTATGAGCAAACACAGGGCACTGAAAGATGCTCGTGTTTCCAAAACAATGGCTGACAGGCTGAAAGAGGTGTCACATACATGAAATGCATCTTTTTTCCTCCAGAGAACTGGCAGGTTTGGGATAAGATGCCTGTTTTAAGTCCTTAATCCTTCATGTTTGCAAAGTGTGCTAAACTTTTTCAAAATGACATACAACAATCATCACAAGGATATTTATCGGTAACAGCAACAATAGTAATAACAAAAATTGAGATTTTATGGTGTGCCAGGAACTAGCCTAAGATATACATGTTCTCTTTTTCTCTTTCTCAGAACCACCCCCATGAAGTAGATATTGCTATTATTCCTGCTTTAGTGATAAGGAAACAGAAATACAAAAATGTTAGGCAATGTACAAGGTCACAAATGGAATAAGTACAGGTCATGGAGGGCTTGTCCTCCAGAAGCAACCAAGGACAGTCTAATTCCATAGGCTGTATTTTTAGCTACTCATTTATTTTATTTTATTTTATTTTTAGATAGAGTCTCACCCTGTTGCCCTGAGTAGAGTGCTGTGGCGTCAGCCTAGCTCACAGCAACCTCCTCATACACGTGGGCTCAAGTGATCCTCCTGCCTCAGCTTCCCAAGTAGCTGGGACTACAGGCACCTGCCCAGCTAAATTTTTATTTTTAGTAGAGACGGGGGACTTACTCTCATTCAGGCTGGTCTCAAACTCCTGACCTCAATCATCCTCCTGCCTCAGCCTCCCAGAGTGCTAGGATTGCAGGAGTGAGCCACTGCGCCCGTCCTAACCATTCATTTTTATTTGACAAGAAGAAAGCAAACTTGCCCATAACCATACAGAAAGATAATAGTGGAATGCTCCTGAATAAACTTGACCCCACAGGATTGTTTTGAGGATTAAATGGTAGCTATTGTTATTATTATTTTAATTTTGATTAGATCAGAGCACTGTGCTAAGTACACAATTAAAATTTTTTCACAATCTATAAAAGGGTTGATATATTTAATATAAAAAGAGGTCTAGGCCAGGCGTGGTGGCTCACACCGGTAATCCTAGCACTCTTGGGGCAGGCCCTGGAGCGTGGAGGATCACTCAAGCGCTCAGGAGGCTTTCAAAAACCAGCCTGAGCAAGAGGCCGAGACCCCGTCTACTAAAAGAATAGAAAATTTAATGAGACAATCTTAAGGATATATAGGAAAAACATTAGCGTGCATGTGGCACTTGCCTGTAGTCCCAGGTACTGGGAGGCTGAGGCAGGAGGATCGCTTGAGCACCAGGCAGTTCGAGGTGTGCTGTGAGCTAGGGGTCTGACACCACGCATTCTATCCTGGGCAACAGGAGGTGAGACGAAAGAAAGAAGGAAGGAAGGGAAAAGAGAGGAGGAAGGAAGAAGGAAGGAAGGAGGGAAGGAAGGAAGGAAGGAAGGAAGGAAGGAAGGAAGGAAGGAAAGAGGGAGGAGGAGAAAATAAACGCCTATCTTGTTTAAACCATCACTGTCTGAAGTTTCTATCACTACTAAACAAATTCCAATGAATACACATAGGAATTGGGAACCATAAGAACAAAATCACGTGAGATGTACGTGGTTACTATTAAAGGGATCCCATCAGTAACCCCAGCTGGTGAGGCCTGAGAAGACTACTAGGTTACCCAAGTGTAGGCATCATGTGAATTTCTAGCACTATGTAGAATTATGACTAATGATATAGTCATAAAAACAGAAGCAAAACAGCTGAGCCTATATTACAGAAATTGTGAACTTTTTCTAACTTCTGTCCAGTCTGCACTCTCTACTTTAACTGTTCTGGCATGGGAGGACAACAACGAAGGAAAATTAAATTTTATGGATTACAAGAAACAACACGTAGTTTGGCAATTACAGCTTGGGAGGCATTTATTTATGCCTCCCAAGGAAACTCTGCTTCGTAGAGAAGCTCTGCTCAGCTTCTCATATGCTACTTTTGAAATTGGTATTGTCTTGAGGTGGAGGAAGTGACCCGAAATACAAGGCTCAGCCTCTCCTCTTTTGAAAGTCGGTCACAAAATTCATCAGTACCTTGGCACTGTCTGATGCCTTCAGAGAATTTTTTTTTTTTTTTTGAGACAGAGTCTCACTCTGTTGCCCAGGCTAGAGTGAGTGCCATGACATCAGCCTAGCTCACAGCAACCTCAAACTCCTGGGCTCAAACGATCCTCCTGCCTCAGCCTCCAGAGTAGCTGGGACTGCAGGCATGCGGCACCATGCCCG